CGTTTCAAAGATAATGGCCAAAGGCTCCTCAATGACATTTGCCAACTCCCTCAGTACCCTCGGATGCACTATGTGCGGACCCATGGATTTGTGTATGTTTAGCTTTTCTAAATAGTTCCTAACCTGTTCTTTACCCACCACGGGCTGTCCCTCTTCATCCCATCTTGCGTCACTTAGCGCATTAGTCCGGGAGCCGACCTTGTCCGTGAATACAGAGGCAAAGAAAGCATTGAGTACTTCAGCTTTCCCCACATCATCTGTCATCATCTCCTTCATCCAGTAGGGGCCGCACACCCTCTCTGATCCCTTTCTTGTTATCCTTCACATCCTTAGCCAGTCGCAATTCCATTTGTGCTTTCGCCTTCCTGATAACCCCCCGGCATTCTCGAGCTATACATTTAAACCCCTCCCTGGTCATTTGTCCAAGTTTCCACTCTTTGTAAGCTTCCTTTTTGTGCTTAAGTTCACCAAGGATTTCCCCTGTAAGCCAATCCGGTCTCCTACCATGTTTGCCTCCCTTGCTACACGTCGAGATGGCTTCTTTCTGTGCCTTCAGTAAGGCTTCTTTAAAATACTGCCAGCTGTCCTGGACTCCTTTCCCCTTCATGTTAACATCCCAGGGGATTCTGCCCATCAGGTCTCTAGAGTCAAAATCTGCTTTTTTTGAAGTCCAAGGTGTGTATTTTACTCCTCTCTTTTCTTCCTTTGGTCAGGATCCTGAAATCTACCATCTCATGATAATTGTTTCCCAGGTTGTCACCCACCTCCACTTCCCCTATTAGTTCCTCCCTGTTTGTGAGCAGAAGGTCAAGCTGCGCACGGCCCCTGGTTGGATCCTTCAGCACTTGTGCCAAGAAGTTATCCCCAACATTCTCCAAAAACTTCCTGGATGGCCTGTGTACTGCCGTATTGGTTTCCCAACAGATGTCATGTGATGAAAGTCCCCCCACAAGAACCAGGGCCTGTGATCCGGAAGCTTCTCAGTTGTCCGAAGCAAGCCTCATCCTCCTAATTCGGTGGCCTGTAGCAGACATCAACCACAACATCAAGGCTGTTGTTTGCTCCTTTAAACTTAACCCATAGACGCTCAACAGGTTTTTCTCCCTCTTTATACTGGAGTTCAGAGCAATCGTAGTGCTCTCTTACATATAGTGCAACTTCTCCTCCTTTTCTCCCCTGCCTGTTCTTCCTGAACAGTCTATACCCTCTCAGTCTATACCCTTCCATGACAGCGCTCCAGTCAAGCGACTGGGACTTTTCAGTTTAGAAAAGAGGAGACTGAGGGGGGGATATGATAGAGGTCTATAAAATCATGAGTGGTGTGGAGAGGGTGAATAAAGAAAAGCTATTTATTAGTTCCCATAGTAGAAGAACTAGGGGACACCAAATGAAATTAATGGGTAGCAGGTTTAAAACTAATAAAAGAAACTTCTTCTTCATGCAGCGCATAGTCAACCTGTGGAACTCCTTGCCAGAGGAGGCTGTGAAGGCTAGGACTATAACAGAGTTTAAAGAGAAGCTAGATAATTTCATAGAGGTTAGGTCCATAAAAGGCTATTAGCCAGGGGATAGAAATGGTGTCCCTGGCCTCTGTTTGTCAGAGGCTGGAGGAGGATGGCAAGAGACAAATCGCTTGATCATTGTCTTCGGTCCACCCCCTCTGGGACACCTGGTGCTGGCCACTGTCGGCAGACAGGCTACTGGGCTAGATGGACCTTTAGTCTGACGCAGTACGGCCGTTCTTATGTTCTCTACCCCTAAATGTCCTCTTAAGATCCCACTAAGCAATGGCAGTGTAGATAATGCTGCTAGACTACGTTGACCTCCCGTGGTTCAGCAAAGACTACAGAGGTTCAACCTGTATACTCTTACATACAGTGTACACGCTGTGAACAGTGGGCTATGTGGTTGCTTAATGGAATGTGCATCTAACAAGATGACTTAGGAGATCAGAAATACATTATGGGTATAATTACGTAGATTTTTTTTTTTGAGACTGGCTCCTTTTTGGTTAGTATGTCTACCTTTTTCAATCATCAGTGTTTGGACGGGGGGGGAGACTGATCCTTGATTGAGATTCCTGTGTGCTATCATAACATACGTTTAGTACAAAGTAATAGACTGTCAGTTGGTCTAGTTATTAAATAATTAAAGTATGAGTGGTGTGACATTTCCAACTTTATTTTCCTTCCCTTCCCTCCCCCCACCCCTCCCAGTGTTCCTTCTGAGGAAATTTGGGCCATCAAACAGTTCTAGTCCCATCTGTATAAACTCAAGGCATCAGTGATGCAGAAAGTCTCCATAATCTGAAAGGGGATACATTTTGCTTTTATGAGACAAGCTTTTGTGTTTTTGTCTTACTTGCAGCAATACTGACCTGAAATTTCCTTTAACAGAATCATGATGAAACCTGGAGGAATTACTTTTCTGACATTAACTTCTTCGCAAATGCTGTTTACACCCACTGCTACGACTCGTCTGGAACGAAGCTGTTTGTGGCAGGAGGTCCCCTTCCATCAGGACTCCACGGGAATTATGCTGGTCTCTGGAGCTAATGAGAACTTTTTCCAAATGCCCATCTTTATGCTGATTTCCACTTTGTCTTTCCTTTTTTAAACAAAGAAATTGTGTGATGACATTGTTTTCTGGTCTAAATGCAAGTTATTTTTGGCAGAGTTCTCTGTTCTTCTTCAAAAGTTTTGTACATCTTTTTTTGGCCAGATTTTGCTTTAACTTCCTTGACCCTTTATATGAAGGGTTGTTTTAAAATCCCTTTTTATTGTATTTACTCCAAATGACTTTTCCCCCACGTAGGCTAACTCAGCCATATGCCCCCTACTTTGCTGTGAGGTAGGATTCCTTTCTTATCGAGTGTTTGCTGCCAGGCTTTCTGTGAAAGTCCAGGAGCTGTGTGTATGCAGGTACTTTGTGTCGGTTACATTACCTGGAGTGAGGACTACTTGTAATTAAAAATATTAAAAATATTTATGAGATAAGCTACTATTTTATCTGCAGAGCCTGGCACAGGCCTGGCTTGATCTTTTATTTCTTTTTTAAAGTACAAGTCTAATGACACTGTATACATCAAGGAAAGTAAATGGAAACCATTGGAACCCAGGGACAGAGCACCAACAAGAATATAGCATCTAACCCAGAGTGTAGCAAGGCTCTCAGCCTGGCATCCTAACAGTGCAGGAGCAAAATGACTGTGTCTTGTTACCCCTTCTCTGTCCTGGGTGTTGGCGCTTCGGCATAGGTTGCCTGTGCTACCATGGGAGTAGTGTGACACATGACAGCCGTTACGATGGTGGTGTGTGGTTTATTGGGGGCACTGCAGGAAATGGCTTCCTGGATTAAGAGACAGATTTGCATGGGGGCTAATTCAGTCTGCCTATTTTCTAGGTTAGCTGGGGGTCCTCTGCGTGGTTGGGGCTGGATGGCTGGGAGGAGCCAGGACTCAAGTCCTGGGGTCTGGCTAAAGACACAAACCTCTTTCAGGCTGGAGACACTTTTCCCCCTCTTGCAGTTCTCCAACCACCAATGAGTAATGTTAGCAGGAACAGTCTTTGCTAGCCAGTGACTACCATGAAAGCTGGTGGGCAGGGGGATACTTTTTTTTTCTTCCTGGCCTTTGGAACGAGTGGCTAGCACATAGAGCTGTCTTGCTCTTCTTTAATGACTGTAACTACTTTAATGCCGTTTGAAACTTTTACCGGGTAGCCAGACTTCCTGTTCATCTCCTCATGTTAAGAAAGCACAGGCTGTCACTTGGATTTTATAGAAGACTTAGTCTTTTTTTTTTTCCCCTGAGCACCTAGCTTCTTGCTCCATCCTGCCTTGGACGTCCCAGGAGCTGTAGGTGAAAGATGACCGTCTGGATACACTGAGTGAACAAAATACAGGCCCAGTCATGGAGGTTTGTGCATTTCTGGTGAGAAGATGATCCTGTGTCTAGAACACAGGGTTCAGTGTTGGACTCCTAGTTTCTCTTCCTAGGTCTGCTGCCATTGCCCTGTTTGCATCACATCTGGGCCTCACTGTCCTGAGTCTAATATGCGGTTAATAGCTGAGCCCTGATTTCTAATTGGAGATTATCAAATGAAAGACATGGTAGTAATGCAGGTTCCCGATGAAGTTAGGGCTAAGGAGAGGGTCTGTACAGTAAGCAAACCTGGATTTGAAGCATAGTTTACTTAAGCTAATGCCTGACTTGTTTCTTGATTTGCAAAGTGATCTTTACTACTTCATTCCAACTTCTGGTTGCTTAATCTGCATCAAAGCAAAAACTGAACTTGAAATGTGGGTTTATTATGCCGTTTCCAAGTAGTAGCCGTTAAATTATAGGGCTGTAAATGAAGTAGTTCTCTCAGAGCATCTGTTAAACTAACATAAACATTCTTAGTATTTTTATACTGTCACCGGTATAAAATGATGAGAACATGCTGCTTCTGGGATTTCTTTTATGAGTGCATGGCACTCATAAAAGATAAATGTAACATTTATCTCTGCCCAGAAACATGCAAAGAAAAAGAAATATTCAATCCATCAATATTCAATCAATGCGGTGACACTTCATCTCTGTGCAGAAATAGTTTCAAATCCCGTGTAAGATGGTGCGCTCTCCCACAGATAGGTTGTGTGGGTTTTTTGGAATGTTCCATTCCCAGGCAGGTCTTGTTTGGGGTCAGATTTGCACTGAGCGCTCCGTTCCAGCGGAGTCACATTTTACACGTTTTTAATGCTGAAGGGAGCCTTTTGGTCTCCATCTTACCCCCTTACAGTTACTCTTGTTAATCTGAAACTAGCTGTGAATCTTTGGGGAAATGGTTCTGTCCATGTTACTTTAAGCATTGTCCAGTGTGAGGAGGAGTGGTGGTGGTAAGGAGGCACCAGTTTTAAATTAGTCCCTTTTCCTGGGGTGATGGCAGGTATGCAGTTTCACATACTGGCCTTGCCCAAGCCTTCGGACAGTGTTGTTCTATTGGTGACTGTTTCCTGTTTGGGGGAGGAGGGAATTATCCCTTCAATAATTCAGCAAATGTCTGAGTGTTCTCTCCCCACATACACACTTCCCCATAGGCCACCTCAGAATTCAAAGGGAATAGTCATTCAGTGCTGTCCAATGCAAAACAAAAATTGAGAAATATTTTTCTTTAACCTAGTAATCATGTGTTGCTTTTAACGGTGCCCGATGATGAAGCTTGAGGTGAGCGTTTTAAGTGACTTTTTCCCTCACTGGAATGTGATCCCGATTATCCACAGTTAAATATTCCCTTTGATCCATTGAGCAGTTATAAAAACTGAGGCTGGGAGAAGCCATTTGCCAAATGGCGCATGGTAAATCAAAAGCAGAAAGAGCCTAGACGTTCTGGCTTCTAGCCCTGCCTGTTCCCTTGCATTATGCTGCCTCCGCCACGTACATTTAGATAGAAATGACAAAACATGGCGGGGTGGAAAGTAGCGAAATGGGGGTCCAAATATGGGACACTGGTTTGTCAGTCCAGTAGAGTCACAGCAACAGAGAGGCTGACGCATAGGTCCCAAGCAACAATAGAGAAACCCTACTGGCCTGAGTAGATTTCAATAGCTTTAAAATAGGGTCTGTAGACCAGCTAATTTTTCCAAGTGCTCGAAGTCAAATCTGTCTGGTGACCTTTTTCTTTCCCAGTCAGACTTGCTTTGAGGGAAAGAAGGTTCTTAAGGATCATTAGGACAGACAGGCACTTTTTTACTCTATTTGGCATTATTTTAGCATGGCATCCTATTTGCATCACAGTGTCTCAAGCAGTTTCTTTCATCATCCATCACTTTTCGTAAGGCCGCTCTAGAAATCCTGGTATCCTTGAAGCACCATCTGCGTCTGCTCTAATGCAGAATCAGATGAATTCTGTAACAGCGGCGGACCCAATATTAGCCAACTTGTGAGTACTGAGTGGCATCCCTACAGCAACTAACCAGTGTGCTCGTCATGTGAGAACCCATTTCCTTTTCCTACACTGTCCAGCTTCCCCCGCCCCCCCCATCGAGCTCAACATTACTCCCCCTATTTATCCCATGCAACCTTAGCCCATCGTGTCACTGTCTGCTCTGCCAGCCAAAGACACCTGACCCAGCTCTCTGTAGTGTTGCTCTGGGTGAGCTGATGCGGCTACGTGAGAGCAACCTCCCACTAGGGACTGTGTGATATATCGCCCCGGCACTCCCAAATCAGAAGAGCCAGAGACCAAGCTCAAGTTTCATTGAGATTCGGCATTTGTGTTAATCTTGGACCTGTTCCAGTGTTGCCAGAGAGACAGCATAGACGTTTCTAAACTTTTTTTTTTAAACTTAAGACTAAAAATACAAGGTCCAGTTCAACACCCCCTGAGATTGAGGCAAAAATATGCTATCGTAATACCAATCCTTGATTGGTGGTAGTTGTGCCTTCGGGAGCGATTCGCTTCCATCTAAACCTTGCTCCCAGAGGCGCTGCTCCTTGTGAGATGTTTGTGGCTGCAGAGTCCTAGAGAAGACGTGGATTTTTCAGATACCCGTCTTGGCAGGGGTTTTCAAAGAAGCTCTGAGTGACTCCATTGATCATAGAATCATAGAATAATAGGACTGGAAGGGACCTCGAGAGGTCATCGAGTCCAGCCCCCCGCCCTCAAGGCAGGACCAAGCTCCGTCTACACCATCCCTGACAGATGTCTATCTAACCTGTTCTTAAATATCTCCAGAGAGGGAGATTCCACCACCTCCCTTGGCAATTTATTCCAATATTTGACCACCCTGACAGTTAGGAATGTTTTCCTAATGTCCAATCTAAACCTCCCCTGCTGCACTTTAAGCCCATTACTCCATGTCCTGTCCTCAGAAACCAAGAGGAACAAATTTTCTCCTTCCTCCTTGTGACACCCTTTTAGATATTTGAAAACCACTATCATGTCCCCCCTTAATCTTCTTTTTTCCAAACTAAACAAGCCCAGTTCATGAAGCCTGGCTTCATAGGCTTCTCTAGACCTTTAATCATTCTTGTCGCTCTTCTCTGTACCCTTTCCAATTTCTCCACATCTTTCTTGAAATGTGGCGCCCAGAACTGGACACAGTACTCCAGCTGAGGCCTAACTAGCGCAGAGTAGAGCGGCAGAATGACTTCACGAGTTTTGCTTACAACACACCTGTTAATACAACCTAGAATCATATTTGCTTTTTTTGCAACAGCATCACACTGTTGACTCATATTCAACTTGTGGTCCACTATGACCCCTAGATCCCTTTCCGCCATGCTCCTTCCTAGACAGTCGCTTCCCATCTTGTATGTATGGAACTGATTGTTCCTTCCTAAGTGGAGCACTTTGCATTTCTCTCTATTAAACCTCATCCTGTTTACCTCCGACCATTTCTCTAACTTGCTAAGGTCATTCTGAATTATGTCCCTATCCTCCAAAGAAGTCGCAACCCCACCCAGTTTGGTATCATCTGCAAACTTAATAAGAGTACTCTCTATCCCAATATCTACATCATTGATGAAGATATTGAACAGTACGGGTCCCAAAACAGACCCTTGAGGAACTCCACTTGTTATCCCTTTCCAGCAGGATTTAGAACCGTTAACAACAACTCTCTGACTACGGTTATCCAGCCAATTATGCACCCACCTTATCGTGGCCCTATCTAAGTTATATTTGCCTATGCTGCACTTGTTGTCCTACAGGGGGTTCCCGGTCCAGAAAGACCCAGTTAAGGTTTTTCAGGTTTACAGGGCAGCTTTGATGGCCGTTTGTGGAGTGTTGGTTTCCCTGTGGTACCGGTGGTCAGTTGCAGCACGCCCGTGCCCTAATCTTGGGGCAGAGCGGAGGAGAGGGGAACGTAGTCAGGCTCTGCTTTAGGATGGTTTGTGCTTGTTGTCATCCTGAGTGTGCAAGTAGCAGCAGCAGCCATGGGGCAGTTGGGAGTGCCCAGAAAGGAGCGCAGGTTTGGGGTAGTTCTTGGAACCACCCGGAAGTTTTTATTTAAT